GAGGGTGTAGGAAAGTATAAGGAGTTGGAATTCCCTAAAGCTGAGGACTCTCTTTGGGTTTGTTTTTATGCCTCAGAGCCCCTGCTGAGTTCCCTTCTGAAATAGTTCATTTATTTGGGGTGTATGTTCACAACTTAAATATTCTGACACTCAGTGCTTCATGCAGTTATTGTTCCAGACCGTGTACCTCATGCAGATCTTGTCTCTCCAAAGTTTGCCTCATCTTTTGTTGGTGCTGTTTACTTAATAGTTTATCGTAGCTCTTTGTCCCATCTTTTGGACTGGGATATTTCTCCACTCTCTTCCTTTCTTTTTCCTCAAATACAGAAACATTCTTTTTTTTTTAGTTACTTAGATGTCAATTAATTTTTGTGAGACAGAGAAGAAGCAAGGGAGGGGCAGAGAGAGAGGGAGACACAGAATCCAAAGCAGGCTCCAGGCTCTGAGCTGTCAGCACAGCTGATGTGGTGTTTGAACCTATGAACTTGAGATCATGACCTGAGCCAAAGTTGGAACTTAACTGACTGAGCTACCCTGATGCCCCCAGAAACATTCTTAATAGTAGTTAAATGAAAGTGAAAGAGCACTTGGAGTGCTCTCCAAGTTAGCTCATAGAGATTCTCTGGTTATACCTGCAGAGGCCAGTCCCATAATATATGCTGGTTGGTTTGTTTGTCCCTTTTCCCATTACCTGACATTTGTAGTTTCATCTTTTTTTTTTAATTAATGGCTATCTGTTTTTTATTTTAATGTTTATTTTTGAGAGAGAGAGAGCATGAGTGGGGAAGGAGCGGATGCAGGGGTTGGGGGTGGTACACAGGATCCAAAGCAGGCTTCAGGCTCTGAGCTGTCAGCACAGAGCCCAACACGGGGCTCAAACCCACTCAAACTGTGAGATTGTGACCTGAGCCGAAGTTGAACACTTAAACTACTGAGCCACCCAGTTGCCCCCACAGTTTTCTCTCTCTCTCTTTTTTTTTTTTTGTTATAAATAATGATGCAGTAAAGATCCTTGTCAGTATATCTTTGTTTTCTCTTGCCATTTCTAATGGATAGATTTCTAAAAGGTGGATAATTTGAGCAAAAAGTGTGTGTATTTTAAACTCTGCTAGGTAGTGCCAGATCATCCTCTGAAAAGGCCATCCTCTCATCATGCATGTTTGAGAGCACTTTTATCTTTATAGTCTTTCAACACTGGGTATTACTTTTTATATTATTTTTTGTTAAGTAATCTCTATGCCTAACATTAGGCTCCAGCTCATGACTCTGAGATCAAGAGTCACTGGCTCCACTAACTGAGCCAGCCAGGTGCCCAACATTGGGTATTATTTTCCTTTTTGCTAATCTGAGAGATGGAAAAAGTTATCAGATTCTAATTTGCATGTCTTTCATTAAACATTATTTTGTGGGTTTATTGACTATATTTCTTTTCTAACTTGTCTTTTAATATTAGATGTGTACCTTCTTTGCTTACTGAATTTAAGAGTTCTGTTATATGGCTTTGAACCTGTGACAGTAAATTTTTTGTCAGAAAGCTCTAGACCAAACTTAAAAGTCCTCTGTGGGAAAACAGTGGACCATTAATCTTGTTAACAGGTCATATGTTGTTATTGCAGTTGGTTCTCTTTGGAAGAGCACAATTTGACATCCTGTGTGAAACATGATGGGTTGTGTAGCTTTGTGTAGGATGGTACTGGCCTCCCATGTGGAAGCTTTGGTAGTAAATAGGAAGTGACTCCTGAACCCTTTGCAGTGAGATTCAGGGTGTGATGAGCCGGTGCATTGCTGGCCAGGATCACTGCACTGGTCTGGTGTAGGTACGGTTTTTATTTTTTATTAAAAAAATTTTTTTTAATTTTTTTTAATGTTTTTAATTTATTTCTGGGAGAGAGGGGGAGAGAGAGAGAGAGAGAGAGAGCGAGACAGCATGAGCAGGGGAGGGTGAGAGAGAGAGGGAGACACAGAATCTGAAACAGGCTCCAGGCTCTGAGCTAGCTGTCAGCACAGAGCCCGATGCGGGGCTCGACCCACGAACCGTGAGATCATGACCTGAGCCGAAGTCAGACATTTAACCGACTGAGCCACCGAGGCACCCCCCCCAAAATTTTTTTACTGTTTGTTTATTTTTGAAAGAGACATAGTATGAGTTGGGGAGGGGGAGGGAGAGAGGGACAGAGGATCTGAAGCAGGCTCTGCTCATGACCTGAGCCAAAGTCAGATGCTTAACTGACTGAGCCACCGAGGCTCCCCTAGCTACAGTTTTTAAAAATGAGTCTCTGAAATTTCAGATCTCCAAACTTAGATAGACATTCTCATCATGTCAGGGAAGGGCATATTTATTTGATGGTTTCAAAGGAGATGAGGAAAATATTTAAATGGTCCTCCTGTGCTGCCTTTTTAAAAGATAGCTGAGGGGTGCCTGGGTGGCTTAGTCAGTTAAGCATCTGACCGCAGGTCATGATCTCACCATTTTTGGGTTCAAGCTCTGCATCGAGCTCTGTGCTGACAGCTCAGAGCCTGGAGCCTGCTTCAGATTCTGTGTCTCCATCTTTCTTTGCCCCTCCCCCACTCACACTCTTTCTCTCTCAAAAATAAACTTTAAAAAAATAGAGCAATTATTTAAGATGTATATTAAAATCCTTCTTGCTCCTCCCCAAACCCCATTTGAGGATGCTGGGATGGGGCAGTGCCAGGAAGACTCCTACAGGTCTTCCAACCTGTAACCTGGCGGGGTCACTCCCCTGGCCCCTGCAGCTGGCCTGGTCTGCTCAGTGTGGGCTGGTTTTCTTTCCAGGTTACATAAGGACAGGCTCCATCTTTCTAGCCCAAACTCAGGACCGGCTCATCTCTCTGAAGCGCATCAACTCCAGGCTAAAGTACGTATGAGGCTAGAAGCCTGTCGTGACACTCCTGTCATACTCATCTCTGCCTGAGGGCCATGCATGTCATTGTCCCCTTGTGTTCTGCGGCAGTGTCATAGGCATCCCTTCTGAGATCATCTCCCCCAAGAAAGTGGCCGAACTTCACCCTCTCCTCAACGTGCACGACCTGGTGGGGGCCATGCATGTCCCCGAGGATGCGGTGGTGTCCTCTGCTGATGTGGCTCTTGCCCTGGCAAGTGCTGCCTCCCAAAATGGTAAGCAGGTTTCTGGGTGAGGAGGAAAGAGGTCATGTAAGAAGGTTTCTCACAATCAGCAGGGACACCAGCTTGGCTTCCGTTTTTGAACAGTGGCTCTTAGAATGTTTGTTTGAATATACTATCTGTTAATAAATGTTTTTCCTCACGGCTACATTTTTCTTATTAAAGCTCTAAGGAACCGGTTTTTAGTAATGGCCGAAAGTTCAGACTTAGGGGAATTCCCCTCCCACAGACCGTGAGAAGCTCCAAGGGCAGAAGAAGCCAGTCATGTCCTGGCATTGGGATAAATGAGGGGAAGACTAAGCAGTGTCCTTGGTGTTCTGCACTTCGGATGAACTGATTCATGGTGTGGGTGGATTAGGATTTAAGATGCCCTATGTAAACATTTTCTCTCCTCCCCCTTTTATGATTCCTAGAACTGAATTGTGTACTAAAGTCACCTGCTGTTTTCAGTCTTGGAAGAGGCCCATCGACACAGTCCCAGGATGTGGTTCCTGGGAGTTTTTGTGTTTTTAAATTAAAGCATTGACCTGGCTTTTTCAGCATTTCTCATGGGTTTAGAATCTGCTGCAGAGGCCTTAATTCTGGGCCATCTGAAGACAGATGCACCGCCTCTTTCTTTACCTTGGAACAGGTGTGCAGATCTATGACCGGACAAGCGTGCTTCATGTAATGGTCAAAAAAGGACAAGTAACTGGTGTGGAGACCGATAAAGGACAGATCGAGTGCCAGTATTTTGTCAACTGTGCTGGTCAGGTAGGTTAGCAACAACATTGGGTCACTGATCTAACTTACCGGTCACTGCCGGGATTTTGGGTATGGAGACATGAGGTTAATACTGTGATGGACTAAGCACATCTCAGGGACCACCTGTTCCTTGTTGGGACTAGAAACCTCAGAACTCCTGTGCCCTCAATCAGAAGCCTGTAGCTAGTCCTCAAGGAAAAGCACCATAGGGACCCTTTCCTTCCTCCACACTGGGTTAATCAGTGCTCTCCTGGCCAGGAAGGCCGCAAAAATGGGTGGGCACTGACACATCCTTGGTGTTGGGTCTTTGTGTGGTGTTTAATTTCATTCTACAACCTAGCACATAAGTACTAGGCTATTTTTTGCGTTAGGAGCATCGATTCCGTTCAGAGCACTAAGCTGCTTCTAGTTTTAAGGCACATTGGTCCACTGGCTTCTACTCAACAATGTTCAGGTGACCTCCAGGTACTTTTTGCCTCATGAGGGTCACATGTGATGGTATTTGGGGTTTGTAGTCGAGGCCAGGCATTTTGTTAGAAGGGCCTCACTTGCCCCCCATGAGCTCCTAAGTCTGTCATTCTTTGGTCTGAGAATAGTAGTTATGGTTTAAAAAGTATGATGTTGCTCCCCACCATGTAACTGAGCTAAATAAAGCAGGCTGCAATGTGGCTTCCCGCACCAGACGTTGGGACAAGAGCACACATAGGCCACTTGAAATTAAACTCTTTTCAAGCGGCTGAACTTGCTCATTTGTCTTTCTGTTCCTCTTCCCACCCACAAATCAACCTGTCCATTTGTAGTGGGCATACGAGCTGGGTCTGTCCAACGAGGAGCCGGTTAGTATCCCGTTACATGCCTGCGAACACTTCTACCTTCTGACTCGCCCCTTGGAGACCCCTCTGCAGAGCAACACACCAAGTGAGGACTTACGCTTTGTCTTTAATCATATTCCCTTGCCACTCTTCTGTCCTCTAAAAAGGAAGACTCTCTGCTAAGGACAGACTGTACTTGAAAGAGCCTTGTCTTCTCCGAAGCATGTTGCAGGGAGGCGGACCAAATTCCACCTTCTCTGTAAGAAATCTTTATGAAAGGATGGATAAGACGGGCATTCCAGTGAAGCAGTTTTTTAGTTTAATTTGTAAGCTAATTGCAGTCCCCAGCGGAGGTCCAAATTGAGAATATTTGTAATATAACCTGGAGTTTTGGACTGAACGGCATACATTGTAGAGAGCTTATAGGGAAGCTTAAGTTGCGTTACTCCATGACCCCAAGCACCACGGGAGAGGGCTTGATGTCACATGGAAGGAATGGGCTCCCAGTACCCCCTTTCTGCTAGGCTCTCACAGTCACTGTGGTAGTTCCGAAGTTTGGTTGTGAGGACCAGAGCTTGTAGGGAACTGAGCAGGTTGGGGACAGAGAAATAGTCTCCACTGTAATGTGAGAGGGAGGATCCTCCCCCATTACCTAGAAAGTTCTGTGTTCACTGAATGCTCTTCACTAATAGAGCCAGTAGGCATTTTTGTTCTGCTTTTTCTGTCCATTTAGAAAACTGGTTTACCTCTAAACCTTGTTTTTCCCTTCTCCCCGCCGCCCCCCCCCCTTCCCTTGTCATTTCTCTTCCTCAGCTATTGTGGATGCTGATGGAAGAATTTATATCCGGAACTGGCAGGGTGGCATCTTGTCTGGAGGCTTTGAGAAGAACCCGAAGCCAATATTCACTGAGGGCAAGAACCAGCTGGAGATTCAGAATCTGCAGGAAGACTGGGATCACTTTGGTGTGCGATCTTCAGGATAACTATAATGCCCTGTGTTTGTCTAAGATGCTATCTTTTTGAAAGCATTTTCAAGAGTTTCTTCTTTGATCTTTGTAACAGCCCCATGAGGTCCTTACAGAGGGCAGTCCACAGCGTCTACCTGGTCTAAGGCTGTGGTCACTGGGTTGTGGACTCAGGGGACAAAAATCTTGGTTAGAGGACCTCAGGCTTATTACTTAACTAAAATCATTGCTGAAATTCTAGGCTAGAAGGAAACCTTTTTTGTAGGACTGCCTGTAAGACTGAAAACATTTTTAGAAAGTAGAATTGTTTTGTTAATACGTCTTTTACTTGGTTTTTGTTCTTATTGAAGAATTGACCTACAATACTGTATTAGTTTCAGGTGTGCATCATAGCGATTCGATATTTATATTCTCAGTTTTGTAATAATTTTTGCTGGATAGTTGATATAGGCCCATGTTTCCAAATTCAAAAGATTAGAAACCATCTATATTGACAAGTTTTGCCTCCCAACCCTTGATAGACCTTTTAAAAAATAAACTGTTTATTGTAGGGGATTTTAGACTTTAAGAAGTGGAGAGAATAGGATACAGAACCTTATGTGTACCCACCAGCCAGCTTTAGTCTGGTTTCATCTCTTACCACTGTCCCAGATGATGGACTTATTTTCAAAAAGGCCAAGGTCCCTTCTTTTGTATCTTTCCAACTGAGGAAATCCTTGCCTTTGTCACATGTCTGCTCTCCTCTGGTGTCACTGAAGAGCCTTCCATGAAAAGTGATCCCTTGGAGATCTTATCTGTAGTCACATGTATTGTGTGCCTTTCCATAGCTCCTGGCCTTTCTAAAGAAGTGTCTTTTTTCTCAGTCTTTATGCCACGCACTTTGTAGGTGTGTCCTAATTCCACCATGGTTTCTGCTTTCTGATCAATGGCCCATTTGGCTCTTCTGAGAAAACCTCTTTCGGGCGATTTTCTGAAAGGAGAGGGAGTAGGAAAGTATAAGGAGTTGGAAGTCTTTGAATTCCCTAAAGCTGAGGACTCTCTTTGGGTTTGTTTTTATGCCTCAGAGCCCCTGCTGAGTTCCCTCCTGCGTCGGATGCCAGAACTGGAGACTCTGGAGATCATGAAGTTGGTCAACTGCCCTGAGACCTTCACCCCAGACATGAGGTGCATCATGGGCGAGTCTCCTGCAGTGCAGGGCTACTTTGTCCTGGCGGGAATGAACTCTGCCGGCCTGTCGTTTGGAGGAGGGGCTGGAAAGTAAGTCTTTCGTGCCTGGACTCTGCTTCCTAGAGTTACTTGTTACTAATCTGGTGTGTTAACAGTAAGGAGGGAGATACACCTCATATGAGAGTTGTTCCCTTCAAAGTAATCACTGTGGGATATTCTAGCAATGTCACTGTGCACAGGGTTTTGGGAAGTCTTTTTGGAGTTCGTCATGGAGCCTGTGGGATGTACTTTTTGGCTCTTGAGGTGTAACAAACACTGAGTGTGCATTTGAGTTTATAAACATTAAGCATGGTGAGTGACATAGACAATCATGCGGAGTAGTACCAGTTTTCTTTACAAACTACAGATTGATTATGGGGCACCTGTATGGCTCAGTTGGTTGAGCACCCGACTTGATTTTGGCCCAAGTCATGATCTCAGGGTTCGTGAGTTCGAGCCCTGCGTTGGGTTCTGCACTGACAGTGTGGAGCCTGCTTGGGATTCTCTTTCCTCTCTTTCTTTCTGCTCTCTCCCTAAATAAATAAATAAATAAATAAATAAACAAACCAACCAACCCATAGATATAGATAGATAAGTAATAAAATTTACATATTGATTAAAACAAGCCAGAAAGGACAAATACTGTGTGCAGTACAGTTCATAAAGACACTTAGGGTAATGCAGTTCATAAAGACAGATGGTACAAGGGCGGTTGCCAAGATGGGGACTGGAACGGAGAGGGGCTGCTTCACAGGTGGATGTAGTTTCAATCTGGGAAGATGAAGAGTTCTGGGGGTGGATGGTTGTGATGTTTATACAGCAGTGGCAGTGTTCTTAATGCCATTGAACCTCACAGTTGGAAATGACTAAGATGGTTGATTTTCTATTCTGTGTATTTTACCACAATTTAAAGTTACTATTTTTTTTTATTAATGAGGCACCTTTTTTTTTTTTTTTAAGTTTATTTACTTAGAGACAGGAAGGAAAGGGGCAGAGACAATCCCAAGCAGGTTTTACATATTAGTGTGGAGCTCGATGCAGGGCTCAAACCCACAAACCATGAGACCATGACCTGAACTGACTGAAATCAGGAGCCAGAAGCTTAACCAACTGAGCCACCCAGGCACCCCGAGTCCACTTTTCTTGAGTGACTTGTAGAATGGCTCTGAAAACAGTCATGGAAGAGGAGTTACAAGAAGCAGAGATGTGATCAGATAGTTGTATAACCTTCTGAAAGTTTTCCAGAAAAAACCCATTGGATGTATGAATAGAGTACGATAGATGTGGCTATGTCTTAAAACACTTTCTAGGGGGGAACCTGCGTGGCTCAGTCGGTTGTGTCTGACTTTGGCTCAGGTCATGATCTCATGGTTCATGGGTTTGAACCCCACACTGGGCTCTGCTGACAGCTCAGAGCCTGGAGTCTGCTTCAGATTCTGTGTCTCCCTCTCTCTCTCTCTCTGCCCCTCCTCCACTCTCATTCTGTCTCTCTTAAAAATAAACCTTAAAAAAAAACTTCGTAGGGAACCTTATCATTAGAAATAAAACGATCAGAGCAGATTTGAGAGCAGTAGATGGATCCATGTTTATTTCTTCAGAAAAATTAGGAAATTGCCCAGAGTTTCTCAACCAATCTGTGACAAGATAGGATGTTTGATTCTGTTGGTTCTTGTTTCCTAGTACAGTTAGGAGAGTATCCCATCTGAGGCCCAGCAACTTCCCCCACATCTAAACAGGTACCTTGCTGAATGGATGGTGCATGGTTATCCATCAGAAAGCATCTGGGAATTGGACTTGAAACGTTTTGGAGCCCTCCAGAGCAGCCGCACCTTTCTGCGCCACCGAGTCATGGAAGTCATGCGTGAGTAGAGCTTGATCCCACTTGCATCTAGTTGAAGGCATCTTTCTTGGGGGCTGTTGGATCATTCAGAGGAGCAGATCTTTCCCTCAGTTCTTTAATAATTGCTTCAAGCTGGCCTCTCAAGTTTGACTGGTCAGGCCTATGTTGGGGCATTAGGCCCCATGTGATACTTATAGAACTTTCTCATTAGTATATTGTCGTTTACTTACCTCTGGGAACAGGAAAGAAGAAAAGGACTTGCAGGTGGTAATTGCTGTCAGACTTCCTCCTGCAGCTTGTAGCGGACTAGCATTGTCAGGTCAGGGAATTTGCCTTACTCTCAAAACTTGAAGCATCTCTGAGTGATTTTTGTCATGACTGTTACATGCCAGCAAGATAGGAAACCACTTCTCAAAAAATACAAAAACGTACATTTCTCTTGTCCTCCTCATTCCTACTTCTCTCCAGCTTCATTGTAACTTGTTACTTTACCTTGTCTTTATTTTCTAGAGACAGCTTTTGTATCAAGAATTGAACCAAATCAGATTGTAATTTCATCTTTCTATACTGAGGAACTATTCTGAGACTTTGCCAAAATATATCTAAGTATTTGGGGCATGTTTATGCTCCCAGCTGAGTTTCTGCAAGGGCTGTGACTGCCATCCTTGATTAACAGCGAAAAGCTGGTTTATTAGCAGGTGGTTCCATTCATGGTGAGGCCTTTGGATCACCTTTAGCACCGTGTGCTCATTTTTAGAGAATGAGCACACGGGTAGAGAATCCTACCTGTGGAAGACAACCTGGCAGCAGTATGGTTGGCTGCTAAGGTTCTTTATTTGTAGCAAATATTTTGGTTAAAATGTTAACTTGCCAGAAATCTAGCTTTCCCCAGCCATTTGTTACTTTAGAACCCATGCAAACCATATGGAGCTTGAGTTTCTCCATGATGACCTGGCACGCTGGGTGGCCTTCTCTGATTCTCATAGAATAGAAATTGGAGGCATGACAGAAAATGGGGAAAGGGTAAATAGAACCTAAAGTACCAGAGAAGACTGAAAAATTGTCACAAGATAAGGCAACCACTGTGGCTTTTTCTCTTTAATTTCTCAGCCTCCTTCCCACCCTGATAGACCTCTTGTTTGGAATGGTTTGAGGTCAGCTCCTCTCTTTGGAAGGGACTAGAGAACACACTTTTTCTGGCTATTTTTACTTATTGCTGTTGCAGATTGGACATTAGGAGAAATGAATTGTGACCCTAGCTTTGTTATGTGAATAATGTCACTGGGACAGTACTGTGCAGCCTGTCAAATTTCAGAGCCACCAAATCAAGGTATGCTGTGTACCCTTTCACCTCAGAAACAGGTTAAATATTAGAGAGGAAATGAGTGTAACAGATCAGAGATCCCAGCAACACAGGCGCTGTCGAGAAGCAAGTGCCCTGTTTTCACACTCTGCTCTTCAGATGCAGCCTTCGTCTCTGCTGTGGGACCTAGTGAGGTTTACAAGTATGACCTTTGTCCCCTTGTCTCCGCCTGCTAACTTGAAACGGTAATTGTGAACAAGACCTGGAGTTGTTGCGTGACTCACAGCCCTGTAACTCTGTAGAAGGATCAGAGCAGCTCTTACAACATCATTCTTTCTTCTGGAGCCTGCCTGTTATACCGGGGTACTGTTCGCACGTTAGGTCCCATTAGGCTGGAGAGCCTGCTCTTTTGAACAGGAGCACCTCCTGAATCTAGTGATGCTGTGTTCTCGGGCTCTTTGATTTGGGTTTGTAGAGACTGTTCTCATCTGTTCTAGCTCTCCTGTATGATCTGAAGGTTCCCCGTTGGGACTTCCAGACTGGGAGGCAGTTACGCACCTCTCCTCTCTATGACCGGCTGGATGCACAAGGAGCCAGGTGGATGGAAAAACATGGATTTGAGAGGCCTAAGTACTTTGTGCCACCAGATAAGGGTAAGAAGGCCCGTTCTCTCATTTTTACTCTTTTTTGCCTTGAAACCTAATAAAACACTTTTTTAAATGTATTACAGCTAGAATATGTTCCAGAAGAACAAAGAAAAACCTGTCACACTATACTAATCTATACAGGGAGAGTCCCCAGTATAAATTTCCTTTTCTCTTTTCCTTTTGTTGTTTTCCGTTCCGTAGACCTCCTGGCACTGGAGCAGAGCAAGACTTTCTATAAGCCAGATTGGTTTGACATTGTGGAGTCTGAAGTCAAGTGCTGTAAGGAAGCTGTGTGTGTCATTGACATGTCCTCTTTCACAAAGTTTGAAATAACAGTAAGTGCTTGGGAACCAAAATAATAGAATCAGAACTTCTGAATATTTATTGAACCTCTCCTGTTTTTCACCTACCTCTTCATAACCAATTTCATAAGAACTCTGGTATGTTTTAGTGTTTTATCTGTATTACATTTTTCTGAAGTTTAGCTCTCTCTGGATTTTAATCTGCTTGTAGAGGCCCACTTATCATTAGAATCAAGAGCCAGTTGGGGCACCTGGGTGACTCAGTCGGTTAAGCGTCTGACTTTGGCTCAGGTCATGATCTTACTGTTGGTGAGCCCTGCGTCTGGCTCTGTGCTAACAGCTCAGAGCCTGGAGCCTCCTTCAGATTCTGTGTCTCCCTCCCTCTCTGCCCCTCCCCTGCTCATGCTGTGTCTTCTCTGTCTCTCAAAAATAAGTAAACATTAAAAAACCAAACAAAAACAAAAAACGAGCTTTCTTTGGAGCTTCTTGCAGTGGAGTAAGTGCGCAGATACTGTTGCAGTGGGAACTGGCTAAGTGAATTTCCTCAGCAAGTCACACTGCTTGTCAGACTGTGTTACCAACCAGATGTTTTTGTGCTCACTCTCTCTGCCTTCTTCCCTCACCCTGCAGTCCACTGGGGACCAGGCATTGGAAATTCTTCAGTACCTCTTCTCCAACGACCTTGATGTACCCGTGGGCCACATCGTACACACCGGCATGCTCAATGAGGGCGGAGGGTACGAAAACGACTGTAGCATAGCACGCCTCAGCAAGCGCAGGTGAGGCTGGCTGCCGCCCCCGCCCACCCCAAGCACACTGCTTCCTGGAGGTGTCCTCGCAGAGCAGAGCGCCCAGCTCACGTGTCCGGGAAGCCATTCTTGTACTGAGGACCAAAAGACTTTCAGTAACTCCTGGCCAGTTCCTTAGCAATGCAGTGCAAACAGAAGTCAAGGGGGAAATGGGGAAGAAACACACCAGATTTACAGACCTAATCGATGTGGAAATATCAGTCCCCCTGCTGGGAGAAGGTGTTCTGGTGTGTCAGTAGGTTTGTATATCTTGGCACTAATAAGAAGCCAGGATCTTCTGTGCTTATGTGGTATATCTGGAACTATGTGCTCCTGGCCTCTGACCACAAAGAGATCATTTGCCAGTATTTTGTTCACTGGCTGCTTTGAAACGAGTTAATTTGACTGCTTCCTGACGCTTTATCTGATGTCTGGCTTACATTACTTTCTGGTCTCCCTTTCAGTTTCTTCATGATTTCCCCAACCGACCAGCAGGTCCACTGTTGGGCATGGCTTAAGAAACACATGCCGGAAGACAGCAACCTGCTTCTGGAGGACGTCACCTGGAAATACACTGGTAAGCCGGCACTCTGGGCCCAGCTGCACATGAAAAGACCAGCCTATCTGGATACGTTTTCTCCATCTGCCTTCTTTATATCTGATATTCAGAAATGGGGGTCAGAGTGAGAAGTGCGCTGTAGGCACTCTGGTCAGAGGACACTGACCTCTGATATGTCCCTGAGTTTTTCCAAGTGAGGCGTGAGTTGTGCTTCAGTCCGTTTGTCTTCTTCCCCGCTATGCCCCCTCCCCCTATGGAGGAGTGCAAATACTGGGTGAATGAATGAAAATCATTTGAAAAATACATCTTTAAATCTATTATCTAAATATTGTTTTCTTTAGAATTTCTCCTCACCTTTTTTTTTTTTGAGTAAATAATTTTTGAGGATGACTTAATTTCCTGATGATCTTTTCCTTAGCAGTCCTGTCAGGGAGCAGCCCCTCCCGTCCGTCTCCTCATCCCAGATTGAACGCCTGCGCGCCCCCCACTTCACTGCCCCTCACTTCCAACATGCCCTCGTGGCCAGTTCATCACAGCAGCAGATCTGTTTAACTGCTTGCTACTACTAGACTGGCACACTACACAGTGTTACTGAACCACAGTTGTTTCCTAGTCCGGGAGGGTGGTTGGGGTGTAGTTTCCACACGCTGCTGTGCTGTGACGGAATCTGGGCTGGTTGGGCTGTTCCCACCATGCAGCAACACTGGGAGGAAGGAGGCGATGGGACCCATGTGGGAGGTTTGTGGCCGGCCCTGGAACTGGCCTCCTCTGCACTGGCCAGGACGTGGTCTCAACGATCCCAGTCTAACTGCAAAGGTGGCTGTGGGATGTTGTGTCCCTCCCTGCCCCCCTCATGTCCCCGGAAAGAAGAAACACGCTGGCCGAGCTCTCTCTTGCCAGCAGTTAGTAGTGCATGCATTTAGCAGGCCTGTCAGAAGAGGTGTTTGTCAGACTTGGGGCGCTCTGTGTCCATCCTGGGATTGCCTAAGCAAAGCCATGCTCTCATAGGCTTCTCACCCAGGCCTGGCCATGAGAGAGTGAGTCCTAAACAGACTTTTCCTTTGGCTCAGCAGTTACTGGACTGGCCAGACATCTCTTGTTCTTTTCTGTTTAGCCCTCAATCTGATTGGCCCTCGAGCTGTGGATGTGCTGTCCGAGTTGTCCTATGCCCCTATGACTCCAGACCACTTCCCAAGTCTGTTCTGCAAGGTGGGTGCTAAGTAAGTTCTAGTTTTTAAATGGAAGGGGAGATTTCTTTTATAGTGACGGCAATTACACGGTATTACTACAACGTTAATGCCCACAGAGGGTGTTGGGGCTTTTATGGAGCAAACAAATGACTCTGTAAATTCATCTCTTTATTTTTCACCCTTCTAGGTCTCCTTACTTAATAAGCATTAGGATATCTTTAAAGTGCATTTAACTTCTCTGAACATCGGTCCTATCCATTGCTTTCTATAGCAGTGGATTAATTGTGTAAGTTAAAGGATTAGGATACTCAGGCCAAAAAATCCCAATTAAGGTCAGGTCCCTTCTCTCCATGCAGTGCTTCACCTTTTCCATTCACAGAGACACTTCTGTGTGTGTGGTATCTCCAGGTAAGAGATGTTCAAGTGAATCCCTAGACAACTTACATAAGTTTCTTACATTCTGCAACAGCAGCAACTTGGAACTGAGTAAGAGAAGTGGTAACAACACTGATAAGAGATGTGCAGACAGACCAGTGTTTGGACAACCTGTAGCAAACAGCTACAGGGCAGATACTGACTGATGGAGGCTCTTTGAAGTTCAGACCCAAGCTAGGATCCACCTACTCATTGTACAGTTTCCCTTTTTCTCCTGGCAGTGAAAGCAACACAATACTCTCACCATTAGCCATCAGCAGACCCTTCCCTGTATGGTCTTTGCTTCTGGAACGAGTGATCCACGTGTGTGAGCCTACAGGGTAGCACGTTACGTTGGGTTTCCTGTGGGAACAGTTTGGCTAGTGCCATCTGGGACTGAACCACTTGCCATTATAGGAACAGTGATTGTGTCAGAGTGATTGTTAGGTAACCAAATGGCTGTAAACACATTTTGAACATTAGAAGCCCAGTCTCTGACCCCACGGTAGCAGGTGCACCGTGTTCTGTGGTCATCAGATGTCCTCTATTGCAGGGCAGGTGCCCAAGACCTGCCTGCCTGATGCCCCAGAGAAGACACACGCCTGGTCTTTGTTGCTCTTGACGCCTTTGACTTTTGACTAAAACAAGTCTTTTTTTTTTTTTTTAGTTTATTTTGAGAGAGAGCGCGCACAAGTAGGGTAGGTGCAGAGCCGGAGAGAGAATTCTAATCAAGCTCTGCTGGGGCTCAGTCCCATGAACCATTAAATCATGACCTGAACCATAATCAAGAGTCAGACATTTAACTGACTGAGCCACCCGGGTGGCCCTAAAACAAATCTTTAGCAAGACTTCGCAAAAAAGAAATGTTTCATGCTTGTAAAGACTTAGCCTCCACTTCCCACAAGTAGCTTGGCTAGCGCTCCTGAAATGGTGATGTTCATGAGGAGAGTATAAAGACCGTGCTCCCTTTCTCATGACCCCAGGGCTCAGAAACTGACCACTCTGAGGATGCATTTCTCTTGTGTGCATGGATCTGTTGTAGGGTCAAAGGGTGCAGAGCTGATAAGAGGTTTACCTCAGGTGTTCGTTCCTTTAACAAACATGTTGAGCACTCACTTCCTCTAAAGAGGCTCCATGCTGACCTCCTCCCTTTGCTTCCACAGGAGATGAGTGTGGGCTACGCAAATGGGATCCGGGTGATGAGCATGACTCACACAGGAGAGCCAGGATTCATGCTTTACATCCCCATTGAGGTGAGCCTCCCAGAGGAAGGTGGCTGGCTTTCCCACGCCTGCCAGGCACCGGTAAGGTTAGAGAGCCAGATCTGACGGGGCCTTGGGCATGGAGGTGTCAGCTGCATTAGGGGCACTTTAACATTTTGAATTAAATTATTTAGTTTTTTGAACAGGAAATACATTTACATTTAAAAATAAAAATCTATAGAAAGTATTTAGTGCCATCTGACCAGTTCCCATCAATCACTACCAGTGATACAACTATTAATATTTGCAGGTCATGTAAGAGATTTTTGTGCATACACAAGCAAGCTCAAAGACATTCATTATCCCCTTTTTAGAAACACAGATGGAAGTGTACTGCTGTTCTTCATCTTCATCTCTCCACCGAACAATTTATTGTATAGATCTTGCCCTGTCACTCCTTAAAGAGGAAGTGCCTCCTGCTTATTTTTTTTTTTTTTTTTTTTAACAGTGGGAGAGTGTTCCATCAGATCGCTGAATCATAATATGTTTCATTAGGCTGGTACCAAGAGAGATTTCTGGTTATAGTTCTTGCTGTTCTAAACCATTCCGTGCACAAGAGCGTCTCTTCCTTGTACGTGTGTGCATGTACCAGTACAGGGTTTTCAAACTTTGGGCTCACAGATACAGAATTGTCAGTGCAGTTTTAATTTCCTTTATTCATTTCCAACCAAAAGCTCTTCTATAGGACCTGCACACTCCTGCCTGCCTGTCTACCACCCTGTTCTGATCTGATCCTGCCTTCGCTGCCTCTCTCGCTCCTTGCTCGCCCCTGAACGTGCTGCTGCTCCTTCCTCTGGGCCTTTGCATGTCCTCTTGCCCTCCCCTGGCACGTCCCCCCGCCGCCCGACTCTCACAGCCGCACCTGCTTCAGGTCTTATCTGGATGAGGCCACGCCTCCCGGTTCTCCTGCTCCTCCTTTGCGGTTTCTTTTTCTACATAATTATTACCACTGTCTGATAAAATCTGTTTTCTTTATTTTGTTCAGGTTATCCTTAAGTTCTCTGAAGGCAGGGATATTTGCCTGTTTTAACTTTTATTGCCCCAGAACCTAGAGAAGTATTTGGCACATACTAAATGCTTAATGACTATTTCATGAGTGAATGTTCTGGTCATATCTTTGTACATTTTGGTATTAAATGATTGGTCTGTTTACCAGTTTCTGGGCATTGTCAGAGTCAGATAGTCCTTGCTGTTATGTTTTTTTCCCAGTTTGTCATTTGTATTTTCATTTATTGTCACATAGAAGGGCTTTTTTAAAAACTAGGAAAATTTCATGTTACAGAAAATTTTTTGACTTTTTGAATTGTAATTGAGTTGATCTTTTGTGCTTTCTAGAGTTTGATACGTAAAAGGGACTTCTCCACTCCAGGCTTATAAAGTTTTCCCAGTTTTCTTCCAGTACTTGTATAGTTACGGTTGTTGCTGAGTATGGGTTTGTGGGCTTAAAAAAATTTTTTTTAATCTTTACTTTTGAGAGAGAGAGAGAGTGTGAGCGGAGGAGGAACAGAGAGAGAGGGAGACACAGATTCCAAAGCAGGTTTCAGGCTCTGAGCTGTCAACACAAAGCCCAAGGCAGGGCTTGAACTCACAAAGCATGAGATCAGGACCTGAGCCAAAGTTGGATGCTTAACCGACTGAGCCACTCAGGTGCCTCTGTGTTTTTTAAATATTTAAATGCTCCATCCTTTTGCAGTGCCTCTTGCTGTACTTATGAGCTGTGGCTCAAACATTTTTCCACATGGATGATCACTTGATTTGACATTCTACCCTTACCAGATACTGAGTTCCTGTATGTGTTTGCATTTATTTCTGGACTGTTAATTCTGTTCCCTTGGTCTATCTATTCATGATTTAGGATTATACTGTTTTAATTATGGAGTCTTTATTATATATTTTAATATCTGGTAATGCTTATTGTCCCTCACAGCTTGGAAAACTCTGGAAAAAAGTAATTCGTTTCCTCATTTCACCTTGGAAACTTTATAATTATCTAGTTAAAAACACTCTGCTGGTATTTTTTGGATTGTTACATTTATGTATTAGGGAGAATTGACATAATGTGTTAAATTTTACAAAGAATGCCTTTTAGTTTTTATTCAGGTTTTCTGGTGACCTTCAGAGGTATTTTCAAGTTTTCCTTATATAGATATTACACATTTCTAAAGTTTACTTGAATAATATTGTCACTGGTTTTGAGTGGGAAGGGTGTCTTTGTTCAATTGTCTTCTAAGTGTTTATGGTTTTTGAAAGCTCTTTATTCTATGTTTCTTTACTATTATAGTTGTTTTTTAGTTGAGTCCCTGGAATTTTCAGGGTTCAATCTTACTATACAGCGACAGTAATGGTTTTTCTTCTCTCTCAACAATTTTTATTCCTACAGTTTCTTTCTCTTGTCCAGTTGTGACAAGGAGTAGGGATTGTAGGCAACTTTCTTGTTCCTGACATTGGTCATATTACTTACAGTGTTAGGCTTTCTTTTAGTTATTAACTGAAGCACAAATTTACTAGGCCATGAAACTTTGTATGCTTACCCAGACAGCTGTAACAACGCCAAGATGAAGGGATTATTTGCAGTTGAGAAGAGTTGCTACAAACGTAGCTGATCTGCTATGCCCGTACAGGTAGGGGTGGTTCCGAAGTGTCACGTGGGTGCCCTGTGTCATGAATTCACCAAGAATGGGGGAGCAGCTCGTTACTTGAGGCCTTGGTTTCTACTTAACATTTTTCTGGGCTGGTCCTGTTTTTATGATTTTCTATGAGTCCACAAGGTAGTTTGTGCCCTGCCTGTTCTTTTCAAGCTGGTTCCTGTCCTCAAGAAGGGTATACAGCTGCCCCTGGCATAACATGGGGGTCAGAGGCACTGACCACCCACTCAGCCGAAGCTCCACAAAGAACTTTTGACTCCTCAAAAACCTTAACTGCTAATAGCCTGCTGTTGACTGGAAGCCTTACACACGTTTTGTGTGCTGTATTCTAATACAGTAAGCTAGAGAACAAAATATTAAAATCATAAGGAAAATACATTTACTGTCATGTACTGCATTTATTAAAAAATCCACATCGAGACCCACATAGTTCAAACCCATGTTAACTGTACTTGTCTCTTTGAGGGGAGAGAAATCTCCCAAAGCCTGGGGTAGATGGCAGGTGGTTTTGTTAACACTAAATCCCCAGTAGTTAGAAAATGAATACACGATGGGGCCCTGCTTTTCTCTTTTCTCACCCAGTCCAAGACTAGTTACCTGCCTCAAATCTTCATTCCCTGGCCTTCCTCTTAACTCAGCTATTCAACTGGGGACAGGAAAGCAGTGAGTGCCACAGAGATGCTGGCTCTTTATTCCTCTTGTTTCCTGTCCATCCCCATAGGCCTCCTGCCCCCATCATTGCTCACTCAGGTGTGTCACTTGCCCAGGGGCCACAAGCTGTGTGGATTCAATAGCACAGATTCTCTTTTTCCATGGTTCAAGTTGTCCTGACCCCGGTGGCTGTTCAGTAGATGTCTACTTGGCTGCAGGAGAGGGACGTGCAGGGCAGCAGACCCCACCAGGTACAGAAATGCACCACTAGCTTCATGCAGTGAAGCTGCGTTCTGTTTTTCCAGTTTTATTGAGATATAATTGACATACATCACTGTACAGGTTTCAGGTGCAGAGCATGATGGGCTGACATGCCCTGTGAAATAACTGCCGTGTAAGTTTCATTAGCACCATTCGTGTCTCATCGATTCATGTCTCCTAGATCCTTGTGGGGCGCTAGGTGGCTCAGTCGGTTAAGCATCTGACTCTTGATTTTGGCTCAGGTTAGGATCTCAGTTTATGAGTTCGAGCCCACGTTGGGCTCTGCACTCACAGCATGGAGTCTGCCTGGGATTCTCTCTGTCCCTCCCCGGCTCTCTTTCAAAAAATATTTTTAAAAATTTTTTCCTTTGGATGAAAACACTTAGGATTTACTTTCTTAACAACTTGTGTTACTTGTCACACAGCAGTGTCTGCTATGGACATCAGGTTGTGCATTCCATTCCTAGTTCTCATTTGTCTGGTAACTGGAAGTCTGTACCCTCTGCCTCCCTTCCTCTGGTCCCCCCCTTTCCCCTCCTCACCTCTGCCAACCACAACTCCAGCATCTTTTTCTCCGGGTTTGGGTTCTGTTGTTTGTGACTGTACACATAAATGCGATCGTACGGTATTTATCTAAGTTATTTCTCTTGTCGTTTTGTCTTTTTAGTTTTTAAAGCTAAGAATATAGTCTGTTACTTAGGCTTTAAATATGTTTAGGTAGAGACTGAATATCTGCCTTCAAGTGAGAAAACTTTGTTTACTTAAGGTGTCTGATACTTACAGTTTCTAGAACCAAGAATAACACGAGAGGCTGGCCATTGTGGGACATGGGTAGGGTGCGCCACCTTCCTGGCTACTCTTTGACTTGAGCAGGGTCTCTGTGATACGCCATCATCTTTGAAAAAACACATTGTGCATGGAGTCCTGTGTGACACACATTTCTTAACACAAGCAGTGTGCACAAGGGGTAATGGGGGTGGGGAGTTGGGGCAAGAGAGCAAAGCCAGCAGTGGATGAGTGAGCTGTGTGAGAGACACTTGTGTGCCTGGCCATTGACGGGGTGGTGGGAGTGCAGCTGGGATTCTTCTGTGAGGACTGCTGTACATTTGCTCCCTGTCCTAGGCTCCACGGAGCAGGGAAAGCTGTGGGTCCTACTGCCATGCAGTGTAAGTTGGGTTAGGATGAATCTGGCTCATAACTCCTGGGCAGTAGAGCTTTGGTTTGTCGAGGATAAGACCTCCTGAGAATTTCATACACCATCCTCCCTGGTGGAGGTCAATGGTGTCCACCATGGGGCACTGCCAGACACACTCCGTGTTGAATTCTGAAGGTCTGCCGGCTACTGACCTCCCGTTTCTCCCTCTAGTATGCCCTGCACGTGTACAATGAAGTGATGAGTGTTGGGCAGAAATACGGAATCCGGAATGCTGGCTATTATGCTCTTCGTAGTCTTCGAATTGAGAAGTTCTTTGCCTTCTGGGGTCAGGATTTAAATACCCTCACCACCCCCCTAGAATGTGGACGAGAATCTCGAGTGAAGCTGGACAAGGTACAGTATCAGCGTGCTCCGCGGCGTCCCCCCACGGCCAGAACACTCTGCCTTAGCAAGGAAGGGCTGAAGTGGAGGCCCAGCAGTGGCCTCCGGAGTAAGGGGACCGTAAGGATGTCCTTAGAATGAAGAGTGTGTCTGTCCTGATAGGATAACACTGGTTTTGAGCACCTTGCTTGCTCTCTGAACTTGACAACCCTCAGGTTGGAGTTGCATGCTTCATTGGCTGCGGCAGCCATGCACCCCACTCTGCTCCCCTTTAGCCTAAGCACTGTCGGGCAAGTTTTTCCACGAACGTGTCACAGATATTTGTAAAAATTTATGATCTATTCAACGGACTGCCCTCCCTCACCGAAAAGTAAAAAGAACATCATTTTTTACAAAGTCCAAGGTCACGGGGATGTTAGTGACCACTCTCTCTCCCACCTCTGAAGCCCACCAAACACCACTACCAGCTGCAGCAAGCTTGTCTCTGTTTCGAGAACTCTAAGTAGTGCAAACACAAGGGTACACTTTCCCCACTTGAACCTGGATAGCTGGGTACCACACACGCTTGCTGTACTATTGCACCTTGGTTGGTTGGTTTTTGTTTTTATGTTTATTTTTGAGACAGAGAGAGAGTGTGAGCAGGGGGTGGTAGAGAGATGGAGAAGACAGAGAATCCCAAGCAGGTTCCAGGCTCTGAGCTGTCAGCATAGAGCACAGTGTGAGGCTTGACCTCACGAGCCACAAGATCATGACCTGAGCTGAAGTCAGACCCTTAACCGACTGAGCCACCCAGGCACCCACATCTTGTTTTTTTAAGTTAAACTTCACACAGTAGATACAGTCTTCCTTGTGAGCAATTACAGATCACTTTTCTTTCTCGCGTATAAAAGTAATGAATACTAAATTTTGGAAAACGGAAAAATATCAAGAAAGTTAAAAAAAAATTTATAAAATAGGTTATTTTTAAGAGAGAGTGTGAGCAGGGGAGGGGCAGAGAGAGAAGGAGACACAGAATCTGAAACAGGGCTCTAACTCACAAGCTATGAGATCATGACCTGGGCTGAAGTTGGACACTTAGCCGATTGCCCCAAAAATCACCTCTTTTATCTTTTAATAATCACTAAGTTTTTTTCATCCTGCTAATATTGCTTGCACATTCAAATATATGTGTGGGCTTGCTATTGAGATTATATAAAAATAGGGTTTTTTTAAAACCATTCTAGCAAGTATTTTTTTTTTCCTAAATATTTTTTTGTGTGGTCTTGTGGTTGAAATCTGTTTACAAAATAGAAAAAGGATAAATATATACCTGTGTTACAGAAATTCTCCGAGTAGGTCTTCTATAGTGAATGCAGTTTCTTCACTAGGTGGAAAAACCTACGTCTTCCTCAAAGGTGAGGGTTGGGGACGCTGCCCACACAGCAGGGACACCAGGGGACCCTCCACTGCTCCTCCCGCGCCCAGCGTCAGCACGTCAGCCCGGTCTCAGTGTTGCCGTTCTCTCCTAGGGGATGGATTTCATTGGCCGGGACGCCTTGCTGCAGCAGAAACAGAACGGGGTGTACAAACGCCTCACTATGTTCATCCTGGACGATCACGACACTGACCTGGACCTCTGGCCCTGGTGGGGAGAGCCCATTTACCGCAACGGGCAGTACGCGGGCAAGACCACCAGCAGCGCTTACAGCTACACCCTGGAGCGCCACGTTTGCCTGGGCTTCGTGCACAATTTTTCTGAGGACACTGGGGAAGAACAGGTGGTGACAGCAGATTTCATCAACCGGGGAGAGTATGAGATTGACATCGCGGGACACCGGTTCCAGGCCAAGGCCAAGCTCTACCCTGTCACCTCCCTCTTCACCCACAAGCGCCGAAAGGATGACGTGGAGCTAAGTGACTTGCATGGGAAGTAATGCCAGGCTCCCCTCCAGTCCCTACCTTCTGCCTCCCAGATAGGATTTTAAACTTCACCTGCTTTTAAACTTTTTGCTTTGCAACCTCCCTTATTCCATCTTCCTTCCTCCTTTTTGCAGTGCAGTTTCCCATCTAATGCTTACTCTGGGCTGCTCTTCTTGCCTCCCCCCCCCCCCCCCCCCCCCCCCCCCCCCCCCCCCCCCCCGGATACCCACAGGGACATGAAGCATGTGTGACGGGCAGGACAGATAGAGACTGCACTCGTGGAAGTAGGGAGCCAGGAGTCTGATTTCTGTGGCTGCGTCTAGAAGCAGGGGAAGCTGGTGGTATGTAGGCCGTGGGGCGAGAGTCCAGCTCCATGAGGCTGACTCTTCTCGGAGTAATCTGCTCATCATGGCGGGTTGCAGTGGGTGCAGGGCAGCCCTGTGTGAGCACCCGTGCTGGGGGCTGGCGCTGGTCCCTCTGCAAGAGGATGACCATCTACCTCACTCACGAGCAGCACCACACGGATGTTCTCTGCTCTGTAGCAAACCACTCACCAGCCACATCCCAGCCTCCCTACTGACCCAGTTACTAGACTTTCGAGTCAGGGCCACCCAGCTAACATTTCCTTCACATCTTGCTCATCTCTAGGAGTGAGTGTGGGGGCCTGAGTAAACAAGCCACAGTGTTTGAAAGGGAAAGACCACATGGCCTTTTGTGTTGATCTTAGAAAATGTACCAGACAGAGGTGGTTTTCTGCTGTCTGAACAGTGCTGCTGCTTTCAGCTGCTCAAAACTCAGTCATCTAGTCTTGACCTTCCTTTTCTCCAGGTGCATCTGACTTTACCGAGTAGGCCTGCTGCAGAAAGGGCAGGTGACGGAGAGGGACAAACACTGCCGTCCCTTTGGAACAGGGAGGGTGTGTGGTCCTGGTAAGGAACTAACCGTGCTGGCTGTGTGGAGTTCAAGAGCTACAGGACTCTCAAGTTTTGCTTCCTTGGGCACAGGACAGACAGATTCGCATGGCGATGACCCTCATGGGTCTGGGGAGGGTCCTGTGCGAGTCTGCTCTCCATCCAGACCTCTCTGGAGCTCTGGAATAGAAAATGACCAGGCTCTCCACACTCTTAGGCAGTGTCCATCTGCTAACGGTGAGGCTGGGCTGTCACACACTTCTATCCATCCTTTGTGTTGTCACAGATTTGAATTAACTGTTGTTTTGGAATCTTGGAAGCATTAGCTCTGACAGGTCTGTAAGTCCATTAAAGAAGAGCCTTTTGTTGGAGTTGAGCAGCTTAGAACTCTCAGGTGTGTCTGCCTGCTCTGGCATTTCTTTGGGATCCCCGTGTACCCACTTCAGCAGATTGATTCCTTATGGTAACTTCTTGTCCTCTCCCTATCCAGACAATTCCTACTTGATTACTGATTGTAGTGTCACTTTTTAAAAGAGGTCTTAGTTGATTTATTAAGGGAGTATGTGGTTAGAACTGTTAGGGCCTCGCTAGGTGATGGGCTGAGAGATGCTGCCCTGCTGGCCAGTGGGGCAGGAAGCAGTAGCCGTGACGGATGTGGGAGAGCAGGGCCCAGCTGACCAAGGAGGCTAGAACAGGCACTGTAGAGCTAAAGGTATCCCCTTCTCTGTACCACTCTCATCTTTGGAGAATTTGGGGTTGAATCTAAAAAGTTCTACACTTATGTGTAAATTACATCTTGCCCATAAATAGGGGACACACTTTTAAGACTCTGGCAAGATGTGTTTATTGAGTGCCCTAACAACACTCAGCTTTTGGTACTTTAAAATTCACCCTGGACATCTCTTTTGGTTAACAGTGTGAACCTGGCACTTGGCTCTTTTTGGTCCTAATCCTGAAGTGGGTGACTAGTTCCTGACTTCAGCATACCTCACAGCACATCCTCCAGTCTGTCGTTTCCATCGTGGGTTTACCTCGTGTGACCGCTCATCTCTCCCTAGAGATTTGAAGGATCTGGACGCTTGTGAATGGGTGGTGGGACTCTGGTTTCAGATGGCTGGTACTTTTTTTCTCTGTGAAATGATCCTTCATCACCTCTTATAGTCTCTTGAGGGAGGGGCTCTGTGTTGTTATTCTATCTTGTCCACATATTCAACTAGAGAATCTTTTTATATCTAGAAACACAACGTGTGCCAGTCTCAGACACACAAAGAACAATTAGGGACAAGATCCACCTGCTTGGATAGCCCACCTGCTGTCCTGTGCTGGAGTCACCACACTACATGTCTAGTGCTCCACTGGTGGGGGCGGTGGAGACTGTAGTTCAGACTAGGGACCCAGAGACCATTAAAAGCTCAGTGAGTAACCTCAGTTACCCCATTTCCACAGGAGGAGAGTCCAGCCACTTGGACTCTCATCAGGAAAGAGGCTGTCCCTGGATTCTACCTCCTTAGAGGAACAGTTTTTACCTCTTTCCCTTCTTTCTAAAAGTGGAAAGTAACTCCCTCCACCTTTCTCCCTCAGCCTGCCTCTGAATGCATTTGAAATTCTAACCCCACCTTCCCCACCATGGAGGTGGCTGGAAGTTTCGCTTCACTGAGAGAACCCACCACCTTGATTTCTGGCTCTGTTTATCCTCTGGTTGATGGATGCACGTGCTGGCATCGGAGTGAGTCTTCACCATCATGTGCCAACCTAAGGGAGAAAAGAGGGAATCTTGTGTAAGCTGTAGTTCTGGTACAACTGCACTGGCTTTGCTTTCAGGGGTTAGCGACTGGGTTCGATATTCTCTTTGGAGCTGCGTGGCCAGTTTAATCCGCAAGGTCCCCTTTAGTATCTAATGTAGGGATTTGGTCACTAGCGCTTAGTACTAAAGAACTTTCCATGGTTTTCATTTCTTTTCTGCATACCGCCCTTACCCCACATCCCCCCCCAAACTTGACAGAAGCAGCTTTTCATCAGCCTGAGAAAGGGAAAATTTTCACGAGTCAAGAGTTGTCATTTGCAGGCACATGGATTCAGGAGAAGCACAGCAGAGGGATCGATGTAGTAGGTGACAGTCTGAGGCTCCAACCATGTCCTGCGGCGAGCTGGGAGCAAGCTCTGGGTCTCCCAGCTGTGCCTCTCCCCGCCACCCTGGCCTCCACGTTACGGTGCTGAGTTGTAAGGCTCCTCCATCATCCATACAGGACTTGGGTTCACACTCCCTCATCACTACAGATGCACTATTTTTCAAAAGAACTATTTTTGTATGTCTTTGCCTTCTCTTTACCCATTAAACACCAGAGTTATTCATTGTATAATATGATTCTTGACTTCTCTGAGCAGAGAATCTGCATCCCTTGGAGAAATACACATTTCTTCATGGGCCTTTTTCCTCATATTTAAATGTACCTATTTTTATCCTTTGCAAACCTTCTGCCTCTTGGTTTTCTGTCTCTAAGGGACAGAAATTACGAGGGGTGGGGAGGATATTTTTAGTATCTGTTTCAAAAGATCTATGCCAGGATTTCCTTTGCACACCAGGAACTGGAGCTTGGAGCACCTCTCTTCTCCAGGCCCAGTTCTCGTGCCTTACACCAGGATGCCCCACAGTGGGTATAGACAGGAAGGAGGAAAAGAAACTTCACTTAGTCTGATGGTTTCCCCATCCACCCCCCATAGCTTCCCTTCCCCAGATCAAACAGGGATAGAAAGTTTCTGCATCTTGTTTCAATCAAGGGGTTTCTAGCAGCACAGTTAACACTTCACTCTCCAGTCTGCTCTTGGATACAGGAAAATGCCATTGTAATTATCGTACAGTGATGTAACTCCTTGTTTACATTTGTAAATGTGTAGTTCACTCAGCCCTTTGTGTGTAGTAACAGGTGCTGCTTGGACATGGGAGGCACTTTAGGGGATGGGATCTTTCTCAGGAGCCCTGGTGACTTTAGGTACACAGGGGGACTGAGCATTTCTGTCTCCATGAATGTGATATTAACATCATGCCCTGTATTTCTATCAAGCTGGATTACAATTAAGATGTCCTCTTCATGTTACTAAGTTTGTAAATGAATAAACAGACATTTTAATTACTCTGGCCATGTCGACTTGTGAAATGTTATTCATCTCTAGTAACTCAATGTATCTGCCATCACCAGGGGTAAGCACTGTCCATAAAACCATTTATACCAAAAAGTAAAAAGTGGAAACCAAGGTAAGACACGGGGATTATGTTACCCTCCGTGCAGGGCTGGTAGGTGGAAACAGTCCTCAGTTATCTTTCTGAAGTTACTGTCTCTGTCATTGCATCTGACTGCTGGTGCTGCCTTAACAGCTGACTGCACAATAAGGAATCTGACACTTGACGTATCACCCATCCACCTGAGCGCCTACACTGGCATGGAAAGATGGGCTCTGTGCATATTTTTGCACACACAGGAAGAAGAAAGAACATGAAGAGGAGCACCCAGTAATCTCCCTACAATCTAAAAAGGTAGGCACTGGGCTTTATTTACCAAGCTATTGCTGAGCAACTACATCTGTGAATCAAGAAAACCAAACATGTCTACAATCTCATCAACTTGTCTTCCAAATCTACCTGTTCAATTTCCAGATCATCAAATGATCAACATTATATACAAAAGTACATCCCACAGGCTACATGACTAACTCCAAAAAGAGAGTTCTCAAAACCCTGTGCACAGTGACATTGCTAGAATATCCCAGTGATTACTTTGAAGGGAACAACTCATATGAAGTGTATCTCCCTCCTTACTGTTAACACATCAGATTATATACACACATTACACACCAGATTAGTAAAAAGTAACTCTAGGAAGCAGAGTCTAGGCACCAAAGACTGACTTTCCAGCCCCTCCTCCAAACGACAGGCCAGCAGAGTTCATTTCCTCTAGGACAAAGTAGCCCTGCACTGCCGGAGACTCGCCCATGATGCACCTCATGTCTGGGGTGAAGGTCTCAGGGCAGTTGACCAACTTCATGATCTCCAGAGTCATCCGACGCAGGAGGGAACTCAGCAGGGGCTCTGAGGCATAAAAACAAACCCAAAGAGAGTCCTCAGCTTTAGGGAATTCCAACTCCTTATACTTTCCTACACCCT